TTTAGCCATCCTGCTGCTGGGTATCTTTCCAAAAGAATTAAAAGAATCATATCACAGTGACATATGCACACCTATGTTTATAGTGGCACAGTTTGTAATAGCTAAAACTTGAAAACAACCCATTTGCCCATCAGTTGGAAACTGGATAAAGAAGATGTGGTTTTTCTATAGAATGGAATATTACTCAGCCATAAAGAATGAGAAATTAGATTCATTCATAGGAAAATGGATACATATTGAGGATATACTCCTAAGTGAAATACATAAGTCACATGTGTAAATACCGAATAGTTTCTCTGGTGTGAACAAACTATAATAGTACATAAGATCCTAATGAGATAATTGACCATGTGAAATAGGAAGAAAAGGGCTAAAGGTGTAGGGAAAGTGGGAAGGGTAGGGGAAAGGTAATAAGGGAAAGAAAAAAAAATAGGAGAAAATGGAACTAAAATGTTTGTAAATGGGGAGGTGAGGAGGGGGTGAAGGGAGGGCAGGTACAAGGGGAAAAAATGAGAACCAAGACCTGTCATGTAAAGGTACAAGATCCCAATAATGAATGTAACTGTACTGTATACCTAAAATGTACCAATAAGCTCAATTAAAAAATAATTAAGTTGGTTATGTACTTTTCCAAATTCCCCATGACAAGTGAAACATTTGAGTACTATAAACATGTAGTAATAAAGGTCCGATAATGAAAGAGTGAGCTAGGACCATTTGTTCAATACACAACGGAGGCCCTGTGGCTGTAGTTGTAGAAAAGGATTATCACAATGTATCAGTCCATGAGATCATCTACAGAGAATGTTATTGAAGAGCCCTGTAGTGGGTCTTTATCTCCTATGAGGCAGTACAATGAGAGAGAGAGAGAGAGAGAGAGAGAGAGAGAGAGAGAGAGAGAGGACAAAAGACATAGACAGAGACTTGAGAGAAGAAGCTGTGCGTCTTGAGCTGATCTTAGCCACTCTGGGAAGCAAAGGCACCAAGGACATTCAGAATTTTTTCATAACAAGCATGGAAAGGAGGGGAGCAGGGTAGCTGCAGGACACCTGGTGATGGCTGGTATAGCAGGCAGGACTGTGAAAGGAGGGCACTAGCATACCTTTGCTGAAGAGAACGAATGGGTGATTCAGAGGGCAAGAATTTAGTTGGAGTCGAGCTGACCGTGGCTGGAAGTAAACTCGGCAAAGCCCTAATACTTCATGGACTCATACTTAGTCAGAGGAGCCGTACTCACCTACCTCTGCTATCTGTCATACCCTTTTGAGTCACGGAAGCTTCAACTGGACCCTAATGCAATGCCCCTGAATGACAGAGGAATTCCTAATTTGAAAATGCTTTGTCTTGTCCTTTGTGAACTCCCTTGTTTACATTAACTCCATAGAAGCCACACATCACCCTCATTCCAACGGATTGCCCATAAAGGTCAGTGCCTGGGCCTGTCCAGCACCCTTGCTGGTTGCACCGGCGTTGGTGCTCTTGGCCCCCCACTTTCTCTTGTGGTTCTGGTTGCTAGTGCCTAGTCTGGTTCCTAGTTCCTAGTGTAGTCCTGGTTCTCTGGCCTGCATTGCACACTGGGTGCGTGGGTGGGACTAGAACCTGACTATGGGGGGGCCTCTGGCAACAATTAACTTTGGGGTTCTTGAATTTTGGTATACTTAGCAAAAACAATAATAAATTTCCATACTTTTAGGTAAAATTCACATTAAAGACACACTGACGAAAGAGTGTCCATTCATCTATTGCTAGAATTTTTACACTTAAAGCAATTGATGTTGCTTTCTTTAAACAGCTACATGTGTATGATTGACCAGGCCAAAAACTTTAATCATCATTTCAGTTTCTCAGAAACCTCCCTGGCTTGGAAATAGTCAGCATTTATTTCATGAAAATATCAATAAATCCAGACAGGAAGGAAGGAAGTAGCTCAGAGAAAATGGTACTGGTTTTGGTAAATCCCCGTCTTGATTCTACCACAATGCTAACATTGAACGACTGCATAGCTCTTCCTTCTGGGCTCTTCCTGGCTTCCTTCCTGCTGCATTCCTGAAGAAGCAATTAAGATTAATCACAGCTTGCTGGGCCTGGTGGTGCACGCCTGTCATCCCAGCGCTCGGGAGGCTGAGGCAGGAGGATCGCTGTGAGTTCGAGACCAGCCTGGGCTACATAGTGAGTTCCAGGTCAGTCTCAACTACAGAGTGAGACCCTGTCTAAAAAAAAAAAAAAAGAAAAAAACAGATTAATCACAGCCTGTGCATTCACCATCAGTGATACCCTTCGGTGACGTCACTTTATTGTCACCCACTCCCCCTTCACGTGGAAATGATTGTAATTTTTTTCGTAGCTCTGCCCCATGACTTATGTGCCGACCTTCAGAATGTGTTCAGGGCTCATCCTCTCCTCACATATTTTTACCTGACTGCCGATTTCCTTCAGATGCAGTGTGCTCCCTCTCTCTCATTTCTGCAGTTCTTCGTGTCTACATCATCCCAGCCTCTGGCTGCCACATTGCTGGGTGCCCAGTGCAGGAGTCTGCCCTGTGTGACTGACGGTCGCCTTCCTACTCCTCACTTCAGGTCCCGGACGTGGTGACTGAACACAGATAAATAGGGTTTGGGTGAGACAGCTTTCAGCTTTTTCACATCTGTGTGATATCGATATTTGGGTGAGTATGATTATATTCCAACGCTTGAGACAACAAGTTTTCTGCTTTCTGAAAAATCACAACCTCAGAAGAAAGAAACAAGTGACAGACGCAGAAAGGCCAAGGATCCTGCTGCAGGGAAAACTGCAGCGGGACAGTAGGCTTGCAGGTGATTCTATAGTAGGCCAGAGGATTAGAGGCTGACAGAAGTCAGGCAGACAAAGAGGAAAAAACGTGGGCATAGTAGAAAAAGAGTAGGAGGGCAGCCCTCCTTGTATAAAACACAGCTGAGATTGAAGGTGCTTAGCATAGGGATTAGTGTAGGTGCTGTGTAGGATTTTTCAACCTTCAGTTTTCACATGACAAATTGGCAGATATTTCCAGGGTTCGTTCCACAAGTGATATATTACTGGGATTTCTAGGAATAGAGAATAAGAATCCCTTTTCACTCTAACTGCAAAGATAAAAAGTTTCATCCAATTTCCCGCCTATCTGATAGATGTGCTATCCACTATTTGTGTATTTTTCTTTTTCTTTTTTTCTTACTATGAGTATTCTTGGATATCTTCTCCTATATTTCTCATGCATAATTGACATTTTCTGAAACACTCATTAATTTTCTTTCCTACTTCCTTTATTGTTTTGGGAATTTTGTCACCTTCAATTACAGCAGCACTTCCACATTGAGAACTAAAATATCTTTGATAATCCTCTGTAATATTTTAGTTTATTTTTCTGTGGATATTGTCAGATTTTTCCAAACATGCTGTATTTGTTTTACAATGTGTTTGTAGAGATACAAACTATAATTGAAAATTCTCAAAAATCAACACGGCACAATTAAATTGGTGATTTTAGGGCAAACTCTCCTATTTGTCAAAATCTTGGGGGACAGAGCTGCAACTAGGACAAGGCCACAGCAACTTTATCATTTCCACTTGTTAGAAGCAAGAAGAAAACTAGAAGAGGATAATGACGAGACCAAATTGCACACACATTCCCAAAGAAATCATGATCATGTAACTGCTCGTTTTTGCAAGGCATACTCATGACAAACAACACATGAAAATAAAGCAAGAATCACACAGCACCGATAAACAGGATTGCTTTGGAGAGAATGGCTGGAAAAAATTTCGATAGGCAGCAAATTATGTGTCAAAGGGAAATTACATTAGGCTGTACTATGCCACAAAATTATACTAAACCATAGCACTTGAGAAATCTTTGCAATAAGGAACAGAAAAGTAAAATCATGTAGAAAATCTGAGAAAGATATTGGTAATTGATCAGCAGGAAAAATTAAGTAAGTAAAATGAAAAAACAAATTTAAAAAACAAATTGAGAAGCGCAGAAACTCAGTGTATATAAGAAAGGCAACATTTCAAAATCCTGGAAAGTTTCAAGAAGACTTTATAAAAGCTCTTCATTCATGGGGAAATCAAAGTTTAAGGGTAAATGTAGTCTTCATGAACTTCTACAGCATTAATTTTTCTATAAAATGGAGTACTACTCAGTCACAAGAATGAGAAGCGAGAGACATTTACATCTACATGGGCGCACATCAAGGACGTACTCAAGGGAAGTTAACAGGACACACTTGTGTAAATACCCTATAGTTTCTCTGATGTGATAAACTAAAAGTGTAAACAAGGCTCAAAGTATATAATTGATATTGTGTAATAGGAAGAAAGGTCTACAGGTGTAAAAGAAGTGGAAGGGGCAGGGGAAAGCTAAGAAGGGAAAAGAAAAACTAAGAGAAAAGGAAACAAATGGAAACAGAAAGTTTGTAAATAGGGAAGGGTGGAGGGGGTGAAGGGAGGGCAGGGGAATGGGGAAAAAATGAGAACCAAGACACATCAAGTAAAGGTACAGGATCCCAATGATGAGTGTAACTGTACTGTATACCTGAAATGTACCAGTAAAAAATTGTGTTTTTAAAAACCCAGTGGAAGAAGGCATCAAATTGAACTCAACAGTCAAGACATAATCCCACTGTACTAGCAATAGGCAATATATTCTTTTAAGATCATGACACAATGTGTATTTACCATTGTCATTCTTTGTTTTGTTATGAAATTTTATTTTTTTATAGAATTGTTCTTATATTTTCTTTATTAATATCTACTTGTATTACATTAAAAAAAACTCTCCCATTCATTGTAAGAATAATGGAAGGGAAAATGCATAATGAAATTTAAAGGTAAAGTATTGGTGGCTACAGGTTTTAAGAACGAACACTAATATGCAAAGAAGTGTAACTTGTCAATTTAAAAGTATCTCATAACCCAAGAATTAAAAAGTAGCTAGTAACATTGCTTCAGGTCCTCTATTTACTTTAGGAAACACATGTTGAAAATTAACAAGAATTATTATTTTTAGAATGAATTCTGTTTCCAAATTGATGTAAACAGTTCATTTCTGGCCGTAACAAAATAAAATAGCACTTGGGGAAAAATATGCAGCCCAGAAGCCCCGCACTGGAGGCCAAGATGGAGAAGACCTCCACGGCCACCATGACCTTCCCCTTGGTGCTGTGGTACACGGGGAGGAAGGTGACCCACACACTGCAGAACACCAGCATGCTGAAGGTCAGGAACTTGGCTTCATTGAAGGTGTCGGGCAGGTTCCTGGCCAGGAAAGCCACGGTGAAGCTCAGCAGGGCCAGGGAGCCCAGGTATCCCAGGACACAGTAGAAGGCGGCAAGGGAGCCCTTGTTGCACACGATGATGATGTGGCCATGTTCCGAGTGTGCATCTGTGTCTACAAAGGGTGGATTCGTCCCCATCCAGACTCCACAGAGAGTGAGTTGGATCAGGGAGCAGATGGGAATGATGGAGTTAGGTGCCCCGGACACCAGCCACTGCCTCATCCTCCTGCCTGGAGCAGTGACCTTAAAGGCCAGCACCACAGTGATCGTTTTGGCCAGGACGGTGGAAACAGCCACAGTGAACACAACTCCAAATGTGGTCTGCCTGAGGATGCAGGTGGCTGCGTTGGGCCGGCCGATGAAGAGCAAGGAGCAGAGGAAACAGAAGGTGAGGGAGATGAGCAGGGTGTAGCTGAGAGCCCTGTTGTTGGCCTTGACAATGGCAGTGTCTCGGTGCTTCACGAAGAGCCCAAGAATAATGGCAGTGAGAATGGAGAAGCTCACAGCCGCGTAGGTGAGTGCCATCCCCAAGGGGTCTCCAGAAGCCACAAAGGTCACACCTTTTGGAAGACAGAGTGTTTGTTGCCTGTTGGGATACTGATGGTCTGCACATCTCAGACACTGATCCATATCTGTTGAGAAACAGAAAATGTCATGAGTCCAGGTTCAGGAATTTGCAGCGATTCAGACATCCCCAAAGAAGTGCCTTGGAAGAGAGTAAGCATCGTGTCCTTCATTCTTGCTGTGGACAGGGAATAAAGAAAGATGTGTAGGTAGATTTCCCATTAATACTGCATCTCCTCTTGGTGGTTAGGGTCACAAAGTTCTTCTTTCTAGTTTTTATTAATTGTGAAAAGTCAGGAGATCACTTTCTTTTCTCCTGGCAAACACAAAGACCTACTGCCTTTGCACATCCGGGATGCTATGATAGAAATCCCTTGACTGCGTAATTCATCAAAGTTTTACATTTATTACTCCAAATTCTCACGTCTCGGTTGCTCAAGGTCAAAGAGGAAGCAGAATCAGCTTCTAGGGAGGGGAATCTCTATACCAGTGTTGGGGCTCTTTGTTATGGGATAATCTCTTACAACCCTTCTTTTAATAAGGCAACTAGTATGATGAAAAATACGAACACCTCTTGACCTAATCACCATGAAAAAGACCTGCATATTAACACCATCGACTTGGGGGTAAGTTTCAAATATAAATTTGGGGGAGTTCAAAAACCTATGTATCTCATTAGAGAGGATATATTTTTAAGCTTAAAACTGTGTAAACACCATGTGCAAATCACAACTTCCAAGGAAACTTCTATGACAAAATTTTTTATGTTATGCAGAGTAATGCATTCCGCCCAAGAACTCAGAATTTCCACCAAGGAACATGAATAAATTGTAATCACTGTTGAAATGATTCACTATGCCAAGTTAGAGAGACCTGAGCTCTTTCCATTATTAAGTTTTAAAAGAAAGGAACACACTCTGTTGATTTTCTTATTTTACTCCTTTGTATGATTTTTAAGATAAGGTCTCTTAATTTAAGGAACAAATATTTTTAAATCATTTATTAAGCCTTTTTATACTATTTCATATTTTTAAAAGTTGTAAATAGCATCTTTTAAATTTTCTTTATCAAATACTTAATGATTTGCTTTTTTTTTTTTTTTTCGGTACACAGGGATTGAACTCGGGTCCTTGCACTTGCAAGGCAGGCCACTGAACCGCTGAGCTAAATCCCCAGCCCATCAAATACTTAATAAAAAGCAAGTAAATAAAATTTTATGGCCAAAAAACCTATTCAGATACCAGTAAGTCAATTACTAATTCATTAGGTTTTTTTGAATTTGCATTCAATATAGTCTCAACAAACACCATTTCATTAATTCATTTAAATATGATATTTCTGCTAGCACTCCTTGTGACAGAATTCATTCAATACTGTGACCAAAATTTGTAAAAACTCTGTCCCACTTGTCCATCATGTTTCAAAACCCATCCTTAGCTTTTTTGTGTACAAGACACATTGACTTATAGATCTTCAGGATGTTATATTAAATGGTAATTTTCTATTTTTAGTCATTTGTTAAAAACTTCTGCAATAAATTTCTTCACTTGTCTGATATAATATCACTATTTTCAAGAAGTCTATGGATCACTCACAAACATATAGACAGTAGCGTTCAGTTCATCCTCTGCAAATCTGGGTATCTATTGCAGATTTATGGCACTATCTGGATTTACATCTCCACATGTTGTCCACCCTACTTATCAGTTAACTCACCAAGAAGTACAACTTATCCATTAAAGATGTACTGTGCTATAGTACATAAAAAATCACAGAAATACATCTATTAATCCAAGTAAAATCTCTGTAAGCACTTGCTTCTTTTTTAAATCGAGTTTGCTGGTACTGTTTAGGTATTGCTGGGGATGGAAAAAATTAAAAATTGAGAATATACAAAGAACTCAAAAAAATTTAAACTCCCCCCAAAAATATGAAACTCAATCAAAACATGGGCTAATTGAATTAATGGATACTTCTCAGAAGTACATAGGAGCAATAAATAAATGAAAAAAAGGTGCAATATCTCTGGTCATAACAGAAATGCAAGTAAAAACTACATTGAGATACCGTCTAACCCCAGAAAGAATGACTATCAAATTATCTAATAGCAACAACTGATGGCAAATATAGGGAAAAAGGAATGATTCTGCATTGTTGGAGGGAATATAAATTAGTACGACCAGTACAGAAATCAGCTTGGAGATTTCTCAAGTATCTAAAAATAAAAAATGCGTTTGATCCAGCTATCATCCTGCTAGGTACTGTCTCTTCCCAGGAAGAGTTTAAGTCCTCTTACATGAGAAACTTAAAATATATACATATATAGAACCGAAGAAGAGAAATAGGAAGTAGAGAGAATTTCAAATAATTCCCCAAATTCTCTATTCAGTTCTTTCAAAAACTTTCAATATATATACTAACTTGTTCAATTTATACTCCCAGTTTTTCTCTTAACTCACTGGAAGGAAACTTTTGTGCTGTCATCTGTATTTTTTCTAAAAGAAGTGTCTTTTTGTTTCTGCTTTTAATCTGGCCATTCTTTTAAGATTATGGTAGGCAATGTAGTAACTATTGCTATTCTCTAATTATTTTGTCATGACATTTGCTACGTATGTAAAGGTACAAGTTCCCAATGATAAATGTAACTGTATTGTTTGCTTTAAATGTACCAATAAACTTATTTTTAAAAAGAAGCAATAATAGAGCTCTTCAATATTTTATTAACATCTACATGTATTATATTTATTTGTTGTTGTTGCTTTTCCTTTTTTGTTCTTTTTAGATAGGGTCTCACTATGTAGTTGAGACTGACCTGGAACTCACTATGTAGTCCAGGCTGCTCTTGAACTCACAGCGATCCTCCTGCCTCAGCCTCCCAAATGCTGGGATTACAGGCATGCACCACCACACCTGACTTGCATGTATTATATTTAAATAAAGAAAGAAGCAGAATTTATCCATAAGGTTCATCCTTACTGGTCTCATTGGAAATCTCATTCTCTGGGCAGCGGATGCAATCAAAGCAACAGATAGGCTTTCCCTCCTGATGGGACTTCCTGAATCCAGGACCGCAACTGGAACTGCAGACAGACTGGGGGATCTGAGAATAGTAAAATGTATGTTGGTGATAGATAAGCCTTTCGCCTAGATCTACGAAAGCTGCATTGTTTTTAGAATATTGGTCTACCAGCAAACTTCCTTCATATATGTCTACATCCAATTAATGGTTCAGATGCCAAATACATTGAATAATATACATAAATATTAACAAAATCTTGGAAGCTACAAAGAAACACATCCAATATCCATTTGTAGCTCTTCACTAAGCTTCGAGAAGGCACAACACACCATGAAGATTTTTTTTATTTACATGTAAGGGATTGTGATTAAAATCAACTCACCTTGCCGGGCGTGGTGGCGCATGCCTGTCATCCCAGCACTTGGGAGGCTGAGGCAGGAGGATCGCTGTGAGTTCAAGACCACCCTGGGCTACATAGTGAGTTCTAGGTCAGTCTCACTACATAGTGAGACCTTGTCTCAAAAAACCAAAAAAAAAATCAAACTCACCTTTGTAAGTCCTGTGACCCACTCTATCATTTCTTCTGACAGAGTCAGTTGCTGGCCATGTGGAAAATATGAGGAAAATTTTCCCACTTTTACCTTAAGTCCAAGTCCTTCAGGAAAATTCCAAAAATTAAGAATATCATACTCTGCATTTAATTTTCTTTTCTGATTCATATCCACAGTGTCTCCGATGCAATTTTTAAATTGCAAGCTCCTCAGGAAGAAGTTCAGCTTTAAAAAAATGCATTTTTTTCATGAAGAGTGGCCCAGGGTGGAGAAAGAATATGTGTATTAGGCAATGGCTCTCACTTCCAAAATCCTTACTCACAATGTAACTCTATTGTGTGAAGACGAGGGAATAAGCAAGTGATACCACGTGAAAAGCTAAGATACCATACTGTTTCCACGCTATCAGTGCAACTTAGCGGAAAATACCTCAGTGTGCGCCTACCTCAACATTCAGTAGTCACATAAATGTCAACCCTATTTCCTCTTTGAATGTTCTTAGAGCACCGATCAGCACAGTGAGGTCATCAGAAGCACAAGAAGTTTTCGTTTTGGTACCGGAGTTTGAACTCAGGACCTTGTGCTTGTGAGGCAGGTGTGCTGCCCCTGCGCTAATGCCTGGCACAGAGTTATGAAATAATACAAGATCACGTACTCACATACATAAACTCTCAATTTCAAGGCTCACTATATTTTAGGAACTTAAAACGCTGGATCCCTCGTTTTATTTGAGAAATTCGCGAGGCCAGACTGGGATCTTGCGCTTGAAGAACTGAAGAGGACTGGGTGGTGAATTCTTTTGGAAGACAAAGCTTGGGTATTTTCTGGAATTGCACCACACCACTGGTGTCCGGATCATGAGACTAACCCAGGTTGTAGATGAAAAAGTACAGAAATAATTGTGCCTGAGACAAGGGATCCTACACTCCTCTATTAGAGCACTTGGGTAACCTTTCCAGAAAGTTATCTGCTGACAGTATATTACAGAAAAAGGAGGGACGTTACCTGCCAGGGAAAAAATCCCATTCCGTTTTCGTGCTTTATTGGTTGCGTATCTACTCGTTGAAGAAGTAGCTCGTGGAGAGTGCGGGCCACAGCATGAACCCCATTGTATATATTATAACTCCCCTCACTCATGGCCATGTCACGGCTGTGCCAAGGCAACCACTCCAAGGAGCCATAGGATGAACAGTTCTCCAGAGACTGACAAGTGGACTCCGAGACCGAGCAGTTAAAATGCATCCACCACAGCCTCGCGAGGGAAATGTCTTCTGGGTATTTTGAAGGATTCACCGTCTGCATAAAATGCTTGAAACCAGGAATCTCTCCATGGTGGTGTGAGAAAATGAGAGTACCTTGAAATGGGTCGAGGAGAAAGTGTCTCTCGCCAGCGGCAACATCCCATTGCGAGGTGGTGACCCAGACTATCCTTGTGTTGAAGTACTCCCATCTTCTAAAAATCCTACTTACAGAAGTGTTGATACCTCCAAACACGATAACGACATTTGATGATGATGTCACAATCTGTTTATTATATCTGTGATAGCTATTTGTGGATACACTTACATCAGTAGGAATCATATGCACAAATTCTACACAGATATTGTTCCTTTCCATCTCCTCGCTCAAACCGGAGAGAAACTGAACACCTCTCTCGTCTTCAGAGGTGACTATCCCCACCCAGTTCCAGTTGAAATGAATCAGCAAGGAGACCATTGCCAGGGGCAGTGATGTATCCTTGGGGGCCATCTGATAGAGAGAAGAAAACTGGCCATCGTCACTGAGCATAGGATCAAAAACCCCAAATGAAAGCTGAAGGAAAGAGGAAATAGAAAATAACAGGGATGAACAGAATTAATTTGTCACATCTCGATGCTGAAGTGTATTTAGAAACAGCCCTTAGAGATAGAAGACATTTTTCTCTTCATTTATGTAACACTATATCCGTGTCCTGAGTGTGTCTTATAAAACAGACTGCGCATGTATTTCCAGAATCTCATCTTTACTGTCCCAAACTCCCTCTCCCAATTTCAAGTAAAGGAGAGACACCCCTCCATTCTGAGTACTTAGACTTCGATAGTTTATCCCGTGATGCATGCTGACACTGTCTCCTACTCACAGCACAAAAGACATTTTCTGTCTCTCCAACTCACCACCCTCACCTGAGGAAATCTGTAGAGTTCCAACAATGTGCTTATTGGGACAGATGCTGATGGAAATGTTCCTGTAAGTACTGCCACAGACTTGCTGTCTCCTCCACAAGTGTAATTAGGGATTTTCTCATCCAGGCCTGAGAGCCAAATGAGAAAACTTTTCAGTGATGTAATATCATGGTAGATATTATGGAGATCAAATCCCAGAGACATGTTAGGTAACAGATGGGGATTGCTGTTGATCTCCTCAATGGCAAAGATCAAGGCCAGAGCAAACTGATAGTTCTTGAGTTCTGATCTGCACAGACAAAAAAAAAGGAATACAGCAGTCATTGCTGTCTTCAAACACAACACAATGTTGAATATGAAACACATGCCTGTTTTCTCCAAAAACATCTTATATAAAAGTTGTTAGAATATCAGAAGATAAGAGCATTGACAGATTTTTATGATTAGAAAAGGTTGTGAGAGTGAATCTTGCATAAGATGGATTGACATCTTTTTTTTTTCCTCATTGAGTTTATTGGTACATTTTAGGTACACAGTACAGCTACATTCATCATTGGGATGTTGTATCTTTGCATGACAGGTCTTGGTTCTCATTTTTTCCCCTTATCCCTGCCCTCCCTTCACCCCCTCTTCCCTTCCCTATTTACAAATACTTTATTTCCATTTTTTCATGTTTTTCTTTCTTTTCCCTTATTGCCTTCCCCTACCCTTCCCACTTCCTCCGCTCCTTTAGCCCTTTTCTTCCTATTTCACATGGTCATAGATTGACGTCTTTAAAATTCCTGAGAGTGAACAAGTCATTACTCAGCAGTAAGACACATTGAGAAGACTGTCTGTCAACCAAGGACTAAGACACCAGATTAAATCTGATAATGAATAGAATAATGCAGTGGTACTGAACTTGGCATCACTCAGATAAGGGAAAAGTAAATATCTGAAAGCCAACTGATTTATGTTGTATTACTATACTGCACCATATGCTATCTAAAGCAATGGACTCTGTAGGATGAATGCCAGTCAAAGCACACTATTCGGGGAAGCAGCAAGGCCTGTGTTGGATGCACAGCACACAGGTGAGCAGATATGAGCACTGGGCACAAATCGCACCTTTCCCCCATGGGAACAGATGGGCCTGCACTGGACACACGGCATCCCCAAGGCAACGGGGCAAAAGCCCACACACTCCCAGCTGCCTGTAGATTTTGTTTCCCTATGGCAGAGGCCACCAAATACAAGAACTAAGCAGCCAAACTGACCCTGGAAACTGACAGTGACCCAGGAGAGAAAAGCAAAACCAGAACCCGCTTCAGTGGGTTAAGGAAGGCAGTGGAAACCTCACCCCACACTCCATAACCCACAGGGATTAGGGTGCTGATGACGTGGTTCCTCTACCAATGGGAAGAAGGACACTCCTTGGCTTGAATGATACCCATCCATGTTCAGGGGAAAACTGACAGGGGGGCAGGGGTGCGGGTGCTTCTGATACAAAAAGGGCATCACATAGACACAGGTCCTGAAGCTAAGCAGGGAAAACTGGGACAGCTGGATCCCGAGACTGCAGACCTTGAAGAGAAACAATTCATTCAACAGCAGGAAGTTCTGCTTTTGCTGAATCTTCTTTTTAGTCTATTTTCCATCATTTTTGCTGTGCTTCATACATTTTGGGGTAGCATAGGGATTTTTCTTTATTTTTTCTCTCCCTTGTAGTTTCTTTTCTCTCCTTAACTTTTTCCCTTTAACTTTTTAAATCACACTTTCATTTCTTGTTTTTACTCTATTCATCCATTCTCTTCTCTTCCTTGGTAATTCTTTTCTGTGACTGTCCTCTATCACTATTGAATTCCTTTTACTCCTCAACAGGACTCCCTGACTGGTTCTCCCCTACTCCTTCTGATGTTCTCCCAGTTGATTTTTCACAAGCTGCTTTTTCATTCTTGACTTCCACACACCTCTATTTTGGGTGTAGTGGGTAAGCTTTATGAATTTATACATAGTTAACACTACAAATACTGCTGTTGGAGGCTCTTCTAGTATCAGTAGATGTACAGTTGGTCCATTCAGTACTCACTACAGGCCAAAAGTAGATCAGTATTTCATTTGACTTATATTGTAGATCTTGTTTCCAATTGTGATCCTGAACTTTGCATCACTCAGAAAAGGGAAAAATAAATATTTGAAAGCCAACTAACTTATATTATATGACTGTTACTTGTAGATCTGTTTCATATTGTCAAGAATGATATATTAGGGCTGGGGATCTAGCTCAGTGGTGCTGCCACCTACCTCACAAGCGCAAGGACCTGAGTTTGATTCTCAGTACAAAAGAATGGTACATTATTGATCTCTAGTGTTTTTCAGTATTCAGTCTTATTTGATGCTATAATTGATGCTGACTTTATTGTTATACACAAGGTTACAAGGCAGTTGTTATTGATTTTTTTTAGAAAGAGATTATCTGTGTAGTGCAAGAAGGTCTTAAACTCACTATGCAGCCCAAGCTGGCCTTGAACGCAAACTAATCCTCCTGCCTCCGCTTCCTCCTCCCAGTGCTGGGATTACAGGCATGCACCAACAGACCTGGCTATTAACTGGTTTTCTAGGGATAACAATATCTGATTCCCCTGAGGTCACTGACAGTACTGTAGCCACTTCCTGGAAAACTAGGTACTGGGTCAAATGTTCCGCAAACTTCTATCCCAAGTAATCAGAGATAACTGGGTCCTGGGACAGAAGGAAAGGCCAATAGCTAGGCATGCCCAGAGGATATCACTGAAAGGTAGACATTAACAAAGGAGGCTACCATTCCAGAAATAAAACTTCCCACTACGTCAACCTATATGCATCAACACACACACACACACACACACACACAATACCCTCCAAAACATGAGAAGATAAGTTCAAAAAATTGCCTCCCAGTGATCCATGGAGCCTCAAAAAAGAGAAAAGTAAAAGCTCCACCCATGAATTATGTTGTATGTTATCAAGGGAGATAATAAAACAGATCAACAAGGCATTTGAGTAATTCACAGAAGATATAAGGTAAAAGACACTGGGCCAAATGAAGAAGATGATCAGTAAGTATACAGAAGACACCAACAAAAGCTAACAGAGCTAAACGAATAAAGGAAACATGAATGTCCAGAATAGAAATGAATGAGAATCCATAACAAAGCTCCAAACAATTCAGGAGACTAAAATTTCTACCAGAATAAGGGCAACAGAGGCGACCAATAGGAGGACAGAGTTAGAACTGGAAGACAGGAGTCGTGGCTGGCCAGCTAATGAGATACCTGAAACACAACAAGGGAACATGAAAATTTAACCCAACAGCTCCTAGATGGTGCATCAGAGTCTCGACCCTGCATATGCCAGGGTCACAGTCACGGTCGCTGGTGACATGATAGGCCCAGCCTCTGCCTGGTTAGCATAAACAACACAGGCCAGTTCCAAAGAACTGGGTGCAACATTTCATCCCCAATAAACAGAAGAGGTAGAACCGGGACAGACTCAAAACCCAGCTAAACTTAGAAAACATCTCTGAAAAGTAGTCATTAACTAAAGAGGTCTCCATACGAGTAATAAAGCTGCCCACCACATGTAATTTACAAGCTGCAACACAGGAAAAGAAACAACCAAAAAGTAGAAAACAGCAAATATGACAGGAAAATGCACCCCAAAAAACCAACCTCCTCAAAGCAAATCCAGGAGCATTAAAATGGAGAAATCAAAAGCCACCCAGCTGAATTTTCTGAAAAGACCCATCTGAGGATTATTGCCAAAGGCATAAAAAGAGTTGGAGGGGAAGAGCATTTCGTTGGTGATCTCCTGGAGAACCTTGCTGTGGCTGGCTTTCCTGATGCAAACTGGGCTGTTCTGCTTGGAGGAGGAACTTGGTTGGGTCCTTGCTGTCCCTGGAAACAGCTGCTGTTCTCATCAGGGAAGCTATGACCTTCCACTTCAGCATCGTTTCAAGTGTAGATCCCTGAGACTGGTGGTACAGATCCTTCACCCCACGTTTGCAAGCTTCCTAGCTTCCACCACTGGCCTTTGGGCCTTCTAAGGGCATATCCTCAATACAAACTTGCCTGAGACATTCCTGTGGGCTCTGGAGTGGGCTGGGTTCATGGAGGACATTGCCTTGGGCTCTATGTCTTTAGCTGAACTTGTGTAGGACATTGCCATGGGATACAGGCCCCTCAGCTAGATTTTTCAGGTCTCTAATGTGCGGGAAGGTCTCTTGCACTCCTGTGCATTTGACTTTTTGGGTGAATATTATAAAATAGTCCTATAAATTATATGTCCTGTATAAAATCTATTCCCTTGAAAACCCTGATTACAATGACCAAACCAGCACTTCAAAAAGTTCTGAAGGAGGTCCTAGAAAAAAGCAGCAGTGACAATAATCCCCAAAAATGAGTCCACAGGCAAGGCTAACAATTCAACAGAAGCAAAAGAAAGGGAATCAACAATAAGAAAATAATTTAATGACAAGGATAAGCCAATGCCTATCAGTTATAACTACCAAAGTGAATGATCTCAATTTACTGACCAAAAGAAAAAGATTAACACAATGGATCAAGAAACAAGGTTCAACAAAATGCTGCATATGAAAAACACATTTATTTGAAAAGAAATTCATATATTTAAAGTCAAAGGAGGGAAAACAGTACTCCATGGAACAGGAACAGAGACAAAAACAGGAGTAGCTATTCTAATAGCAGAAAAAATGGATTTTAAGCCAAGACTGAGCACAAGAGATAAAGAAGGTCACTGCATACTTGTTAAGGGGGGAAAATCCAACAGGAAGAGATAACAATAATACATCTATATGCATCCAGATACTGGCACATACAACTACAGTAAACAAACACTAATAAAGATGAAAAATGACATAAACTATATGACAACTGTAATGGGATGGACTCCCACACCCCACTGTCACAAATAGATAATCTAGACAAAAATATCAATAAAAGAATATCAGTGCTGAACCGAACCTTTGAACAAACGGACTTAATACATATATACATTTTATAGATAGATAGATAGATAGATAGATAGATAGATGGACTGCTTCACCCAATAACAGCAGAATACAAATTCTTCTCAGCAGTGCCTGAGACTTTCTCCCCACAAAAAATCACATACTAAACACAGAACATGCTTTTAAAAGTACAAAAAAGGGGGGAAATTATCCCATTGTTGGATCATAGTGC